ATGGCATCGTAGTTAATAATGTATCTGGAAATCAAGTTTAGCACCCTCAGAGAAATGGCACCATTGTTTTCAGCATACTGTGCAGCTCCCGAGGTTTCTGTTTGAGCAGCAGGCTTCGTTCCCATTTGCGACAGTAAGACTTTTGGTTTTAAATCAGAATAGATCCATCAAACCTTTTCAGTCTGATTCATTTTGGACTCTCCCCTCCTTTAATAAAGCTTGTCTAGGGTGGGGTGTGCACAGATCCTGCTGAACTGACTCTGGAGATTCTGTGCTCCCCCACACTTTACATTATATATAATGTGCAGCATGCATAAGATGCCCCTCTGCCCAGGTTGTTGTGCTGTGTTACAGCTCTTTCATACGTGCAGGTGGCACACACACTTCAGACAGAGAAAGAAACTGCATTTACCAATGATTGTCATAAAGCACAATGAGCGGAGTGGGACTGTAGCAGTGTGAACTAAAAACAAGCAGCAGGGGTAGGGGAGATGATTTGGGAGTTTTGCTTATTTAGGGATCAGAACAGGAATGAACTCAAAGCAAGCAGTGTATGTTGTGGGATTTACTTTGTGGGTGTGGATGTATGTTTCCCTTCTCTGTTAGGAACTTTGTCGCTGCGGTTGTGCCCAGCAGTGTGGGTAAGCAGTTTACCATGCTCTCCTATCAGAATGGTGGCATTTAGCCACTGTTCATGCTAACAGGTCTGTCAGGATGCCATCTTTCTGGTTCAGCTGTGCTCTGGTTTCTCTGCTGCTCAGCCCCATGATGTTGGCCCTGCCAGGAACTGTTGTGCTGTGGCTTCTCAGGGGCCCTTGCTCCTGGTGCTTGGAGAGGAAGTCTGGTGTGCACAAGGAGGGTCTGGCACTCAAGCAGAGGGAAGAAACATCTCCAAGTTGTTCAGTGGGGCACGACCCCAGCTGAGAGTAAATCTGCCTTTCCCCATTACAGATCCTGAGCAGGAAAAATCCCACCTGATCTCATTCAGATCTTCAAAGCATTATCCTTTCCTCGTACCTATAGATATTCTCTTCCTATTATCTGCCTGTGAGCCATAACTTCCTGGCAGCGGGTTTTCTGTGCCCTCACCTTTTCCTGGTGCAGATGGCAGGTGAGTGTTCTCAAGCAGATTTTGCCATCTGGAATAGCTTTCCTGTGCTCAGTTGGCTTTCATCACGTTTTACTGCCAGACAAGTGTTCTGAGGTCACTGCTGGCGTACCCAGCCCACAGCGTTAGCCCCAAGCTGCGACTGTTTCTGGTCACTGTAAGTTGTCTGCCAGGGAGGAAGCTAGCATTTCATCTCACCTCCTCCATCTCCGTGGCTGCACCTTTGTATTAATCGTGCTGTAGTGATATCTTAACACTGGTGCAGTACTGCAGCTCTTTGGGACTTCCTGTTACTTAACAGAAAGTTCAGTTTGTCCTTTGTGGGCTCTTCTACGGGCTCTGAAAGTCCTTTCTTGTGTGTTATGCGTACAATTGAGTCTTAATCTGCAATTAAACTGGTACAGCAGAGGTGTTCTGGATGATGCATTTTGGGTTGTATGGGCAACAGCAAAAGCATCTGTTTTCTGCTTGAGAGGTCCAGGAGAAATACAGAGCATGGAATGGCATGGTCTTTTACTTTCCCTTGCGTTTACTGGGGTGCTTAAATGATTCCATAATTGACTAACACTGTTATTTCCTCAAACACTGATTTTTCTCCCGGATCCAGGCTTTCCTTGTGATTTCTATCCTAAGTTCTAAAATCCGTAGCATTCCTCAGCTGACAAATTTCTGCCACGAAACAGTCCTTGTTATTGTTTCACTGGTGAGAGATCCTTAGCCCGAGACGTTGGGGCATGCAATCCTTTTGTCTCGTTATTCCTTTTGTGGTTTTGCAGCCTTATTAGTTTGTTTTTTTCTCAATTGCTAGTGTGAAGGGCATAGCTCTGCCTGTAATCATCGGTACCACAGAGGCCAAAAACTCCTTTCTTCGTTTACAGCATCCTGTCAAAAAACACTCAATACCTTCATTTACTTGACAGCCCTTGAAAGACAGCATATTTACACGTTCAGCATCTTCTCTGTGGAGGAAATAAGCAGTCGCTTACAGGCTATGCTGTTCTCACCTGGACTGAAAATCAGTTAAACCACGTTCTGGATTCCGAGGAGGAAAAAGTCAATAATCTTTTTTCAGTGCCCCCTGGTTACATCTAACAGTGGTATATAGTTAGAGGGTCAGCCTAGCAAAGTCGCTGTCTCGGTGGCTGGAGAAAATTGAGCGCCCCGCTTTGTGGCTAAATCCTATCGTGGTTACAAGGTATTTCATCAGTTAAAACACACTCTCTGGGTGTGTTTGTGTGGTCTGTCAGCCTGAAATGTAGCACGAAAACATCAAATGGGCACAAATGGAGATACCTCAGGTGCTTCAAAGTGAGATGTCACTGTGCTGAAAAATCGGTACCTAACTCCAGCAGCTCGATTCAAGGAAATTAAATTGGCTGATTCTTCCAGCTGTCCAGGCAGCAGGGAAGATTAGCAGGAAAGCTTGCAGACTAAGCAGGGAGGCAGTCAGTAAGGCATGTTTTAGCATCTCTCCCGCCCTGGGGTGCAGGTACCCAAGTGTGGCACCTCCATCAACCTAAGATCCAGCCAGTCCATGGAGGACAGAAAACCGAGCAGGACTTGCTTTTTTCGGGTGTACACCAGCTGCATCGCTCCTTCCTGGGCTTTGAAAGGGCTCTGTAAGTCGTGTGTTTTTGCTGGCAGCGGGCCCTGGTGCATGAGAAGGGTGAAAGGGGCTTTCTCTCGCAGCTGTCCATGCAGGGATCTCTAGGACATGAGGGCCAGAGGTTGGCTCCTTCCAGCACGGAGTGGGACTCAGACACGGGTTTATTTCCAGGCCTGTAGCTTATCTCTGATGGTTGTGTTGTTCTATAAAGCTAGATGTCTGAAAGAGATCAGAAGTGTGCTCTCTTGTTTTGGGGTCTCTTCCATGGGACAGCAGGTTTTTACAGTTCCCGTTCTATGAGCAAATGTAATAAGTCCAATCTCTGCTCCTGTAGTACCAGCATCCTCAACACTGGCTTTGTTTGTCTCATTTCCCCTTCTTCCAAAGCCATAACTGCACAGTGCGTAGCAAGTACAGCTGTTGTGGTCATTTTTATGCAACTGTTTGTTTTGTTAATGCTCATCTCATCACAAATCCATTTACACATCCAGACCTGAGCCCACACCGGATGCGTGGCTCGGTGACTGTGTGGCAGTACTGCAGTGCTTGGCAGCATCGGGGCCAACTGGAACGGAGCTGCTTCTCCAGTAAGCATCCAAACATTCAGGGTTTTTTTGAGCTTGGTTTTGGTTCTCTTGGCCCTGTAACTCTGGCAAAGCTTGCTGAAAACCAAAAGGAACGAAAAAGGAAAAAGACCTTAAAGGATATTCTGCTTCCAGCATTACATATGATGTGGAGGGAAATAGATTTTCTGGATGGAGTTCTGTTTGCAGATCCAGCTGGCTCTTGAAGTAAGTGAGCATGAAAAGCAGACGATAAGTACGCATATATCCGGTACCTATCTGCAGAAACTGAAGTTATCTTAGAAACTGATATACACAGAGATCACAGCATCTGAAACTTTTCCCTCTGGCATTAAACGCAGCCAATGTTTAACAGTACTGAATAAAAATGTGACAGCTTAAGACACAGCAGCTCTTTCCAAGTGAACCTTCAGGGAGAACCTAGAGGAGAAAAATGTATGTTGAGATTTGGCTGAAGAATAGGGTTAATGCCGTTTGTCCTTATCAAAACCGAAATGGCCGCAGGTAGGCAGGGCCTGGGTTTTGTATCTGATCCTGTGGACAGCAGTGCAGCACGACGCGATAGATCCCCGGTTCCACTTCCTTCTTTTAATGAGGTCTGCCATCCAAGGATGGATATAGCTTGCTCTTGCGCAGCCTGTGCATCTGACTGGTTCACAGCACACGGCCAAAATAATTGAAGGAGAATCTGCGTGTGGGAGGAAAGGAAATCAGCCGCACGTCGGCACATCCCGAAGCAGGAGTTAGCAAAGTGCAGCTTTTTGGCACGGGTTTGGCCACGGCTTCTGGTGTCACGAGCAGCTTGCTTTTTGCCAGCCTGCACCTGTAGTCAGCCGCAGCCGCATCCAGCCCATGTGAGCAGAGAAGGCAGGGCAGGGCTCCTCGTCTGGATCACACCAGCACCTTCCCTACTCACGGCTGACAAAGCCGTTTAGCACAAAGATGGCTCAGATATTCCTCCGGTATGTGTAGTTTGCCCTCTGATGAACGCTGCGATTTTCTCTAGCCAGTCTTGGAAATGGGAAAACACAGATGAGCTTTATCCAGGCCTGAAGAGGCTGGAGCACATAAGCTGCTTGCCATATTGATGAAACACCTGGGGCATTCATTCTGAAGCCTAAACGCAGGCTGTTCACCTGGACTGCCAAGTACAACAGAAGCTTCCTTCTGGCTGGCAGGGTGTATTAATTTAAACAGAGCACCATCTGCAGGGCCTTGGAGAACAGCAGATCGGAGAGGAGAGGCAGGGAGGTTACTGGAAACAGTCTCGTTCTGATCTGGGGGCCTCCACTCCCATCCATTACCTATCATTTCTAATTAGCAGGCGCATCTTGGGGAAAGCTTCTCCGATTCACTTTCTTGCAGATGCTTTTCGTGCTAAGAGCTGTTGTTTTTGCTGAGCCTCCCAAGCTTATTTTGCAGGCTTTCACTGGCATTTGGAACTGTAATGGTCTCAATGACCCAGTAATTAATGGAGTCCTGTACCTCCTGGACCAGAGAGCTGCCCCTTTGTCCTTCCTCTTTCTTCTCCCTGCAATGCCACTACCAGATGGTCGGAGGTTTTTCACCCCTTCAAAAGCCTCGTGTTTTTCCCATCTCATCAAGCATGTCTCAGCCATGCTTAATTAGCTTAAGGCTTTTCAACCACCCACCCCACTCCCCCTGACTCACCCCCCAGGAGATCAGTTAAGGACCTGAACAATTTCAATAAAGAGCTTGGAAAGCAAATCCTCAGAGGGGAGGCATAGCTGCAGGAGGATGTAATATTAATGGTAGGGATCAGTCGTTCATTCTTTCTTCTCCCATTTCTGCCTGTCTGTCCATCCTCCCTTCCACTTATCTCCCCTTGCAGAATATCTGGGGATGCCCTTTGCTCCTTGGCAGTGCTTGGGATCATTTGGTGGTGCTCACCCTGAGGCTGCCAACAGAGTACTGTTGCTTTTAACCCGTTTCAATTAGGAAGTTCTGTTGAAGACCTCCTTGAATAGGAAATGGCAAACATAATTAGCTAACCCATGTTAGGAGGCTCTTGGGTTGGAGTATTTTGGTTGAGTTTGTTTTGCTTTATTGCCTAATTCCTTGGCTGGTTTGAAAGTAGCTTTATTTACAGATCTGAGCAGTTGAGATGAAAGCCTGGTTAATTAACAGAAAAAATAAATTTGCTTCTTGCTTTGTATTTAACGCGGAATGGCATTTATTTCTGCATTGTCACATATGCACTTTTATTATTAATCTTCAAGCTTTAGCTGTACAACTGTAAATGAGGTTTAGAAAGAAAACAAAAACTCTTTCCCTTCTTCCCTCCCTTCCTATAAAGCAATAGAGAGAGCTGTTTAAGCACGTGAAGCACAGGCTTAGCGTGGCATGTAGGATGTCTCAGAGGTACCTGGTGGACGTTTGCTGTGTAATTGAGTACAGCATCTTTTGTTCCATGCACACAGGCAAATGAGAGCACCCAGCCATCGTGTGTTTGCTCCGCTACAATTAAAGACCAACTAATATAGCCACCTTGGAGATAAGTATTTAGATATAATTAAAATGGCTAGCTGTAAATGCAAGAATCTAGCTGTGGATGATAGAGAAATGTGAGGGGGGGGGGTTCTTGGCTACTATACAGCAATTTTCTTCCAACACTCCCCATCGGCTAGATTGAAATGCTGTATATGAGGCTAGATTGAAAGGTTGTTCTTACACTACTGCAAATCTTGGTATTTTTAAGGCACCGAGGGAAATAAAATGCAAAGAGCACACTCTAAATGAATGCACGATGCAGCACAGGAAAGGCCTGTAACATCGCTGCCTCCGTGGGAGTAAGTAGGGCTGTCGCTAAAGAGGAGCACAGCTCCCCAGTGCATTGGCACTGCTATTTACAGCCAGTAATCTTTGAAGTGCTAACTGCCCTTTTGTTTGGTGTGTGTGTAAGAGAGATGTTGTGTTTTTCTTTTATGTTTGTTTTCCACAAAAAGAAATGTTGGTTATTTTTATGATGGCTGCTGCTTAGTTGAGATCCTCTATGTAAAGATTACAGATGAGTTATGTGACCTGACATTCTCCCTGGGAATGTGCTCAGAACGAAGCAAGGCAGTGGCATTTCAAAGTCTGCTTTTAAAGTAGTTGGCTATATACTTTGTTTATCATAATTGCTAGGATGTGCCATTTCTCTGGTATTTTGTACCTTCTCTTAATCGACTGCGAGGCAGAAAGCCTTTGGGCAGAGGCCCTGAGACCCAAAGGATGCATACTCATGCTGAGAACAAAATGTGCCACTTGAGGCTGCTCCGTGATCCCCATCCTGTGAGAAGAGCTTGAAGCAGTCAGGCTTGCTGTGGGCTGTGGAAATGAAGTGAGCTCTAACCCTTCCAGAGCACCTGTAACAAGTACACGTTGCTGGGCACACTTCTCAATTACTGTGCTGTTCATCCTCTCGCTGCGCTGTGCCAGGTGGTGATTTGAGCACTTTGGAGGAAACCAGCACTGTAAGTGATTGGCTTTGAAGGGGGTTTCACATCCTGCTAATTGAAATCTCTGCTCCTCCCAATCACATATCACCTTGTAGCCTCCTACTTCCCCCGTGTCTTCCTGTGCCATGTCTATTAGCGTGGCTCCATGCGAGCTGGCAGTGACCAATGTGAAAGGCTGTCCTGGAGATGAAGCACTCATTGGAGCACTGGGGTCTTCCCAGTTGCTCACTGGGCAGCCCCACTGCTTACACCCCGTGTCTCCATGTGGGTGGATAAGAGCTGGGCATCTGTGCCTGGCTGGGAGGTGAAGGAAGGACCAGCAAGGTGGTGCTGCCTTGGCTCTGCTTAGCTGAGGACACCAGAGAGGCCACCACCCAGCAGTGCCCAGCACCTTCACGGCAAGGTTAGCACGAGTTCTGTCTTTCTGCAAAAATACTTTGATCCAGTTCAGTGTATCAGCAGGAATTTTGTTTTGGCAAGAAAGCAACTACTTTTTTTTTTTTTTTCCCCCTACATTTCACTGGTTTCTTGTTTCTGGAGACTTCACAGTTTTGTGGCTAGAAACCTCTCGTGCTTAAAGCTATTGGCCCTCCTGTGAAATAAAAACTGTTTGAAATAAAAACAGCTAAAGAGGAAAAGGAAAAAAAAAAACACCGCAGCCTTTCCCAAGGCCTGACATTCAGATTGCTTTGCAGTGCCCCCTGGAGGGATGGCCTTTGGTTATAAGCTCCACTACATCACTGGAGAGCTGGCTGCACACGACTACGATGGCAGCCCTCCAAAGACTGAACTTTAATGATGAATGCCACGAAATACTGCTACACAGGCTCACTCTGGGGAAAGTAATACTGTGTACAGTGTGTGATCTATGTCACCTGGAGTCCTTATCATTTCTTTCAGCTATTTGCAGAACTCTTTCGTGTTTGGGCTGCGGAAGGAGAGCATTAATTCAGGTTTAGTAAACATGAAGATAGGCAGAAATAAAATGAATCTGCACTGTTAAGCTTGCTATAGCAAACATACCTTGGGAGAGCAAAAAGATGCTGAGCTGAACTTAGCGAGCTTTAATTTGGGTCCATTTTCATTGTACTTTCTTTTGTACCATAATTGGTATTATTAAGCAGTCTCCTGGGCTATGAATTACTGCTACAGTAAGGAAATGAAACAACTGAAGAACTTTGCTGACTGGGAACATGCAGAAGGAGAAGCAGGACCTATTTAACCATTATTATTATTAATGTCTTCTCCAAGCGTTGTTAATATCATCATTACTGCCATACAGACATGCAACAGAGCTCCCTAAACTTCAGTTGATAATAACATTGTGCAAGGTGCCGTACGCTTAGGTCTCTATCCAGAAAGCACACAGCCTAAATCGTGTATCGTGCCATGCTTATCAGTATAACCAAGGCATCCGTTAGATGGATTTCCAACATAGTTGTGTGGCTTTTTTACATGTATTGTCTGCGACCATTAAGATTTCTCCAACTCCTGCAGGTTAAAGAATTAGCTTTGCTCTGCCAGAGGAACTGTTGCACGAATGACCAATACGTACCTGGCGGTGCTTCTGCTAGGCGGAAACACTTCTTCTCTTGTTCTTCCCCCCATGAAACATTCTTACAAAACAGAGAAAAAAAAGACTTGCTATCTTTTCAATTAGGAAGTTTGTTGTTGTTGTTGTTTTGTTTTGGTGAGTTTTTGTTGTTTTTTTTTTAATCAGAAATCCCAATACTTCTATTAATCGAGAGCTCTTTGCTGCCAACCTTTCCCCAGAGCAGTAGGGCTACCCAAGGAATACAGAGTTCTGTTTCTCTAGAAAGTCTTTACTCCTAACACACTTAGTTTTTCTGGCAATTCCAACTCCATTGCCAGTGTATCTACAGATGATGGTTAGACTTGATAATTTTAACTGTCTTTTCCAACCTAAATGATTTGATGGTTATAAATAATTTTGGCAAGAGCCAGCAATACTTCTCTGGCAGCCTTGGGCTTTTCAGGCTACTTTTGTAGGACTCCCTGAAAACAGAACAGTTCCCATTAAACTGTCTGTTAAAAGAAAGTAAAAAAAAAAAAAAGTATGTAACTTGATAGGGGAAGAGATTTTGTTAGAAATATTTTGATCAACTCCACATGTGCCTTTGCAGCCAGCTCTTTTTGCAGCAGGACCACCCGCTGCACGTGGGATGCAGCAGCTCCAGTGGCCTTGGTGCAGCCTCAGGTCTGCTGCAGTATCCCAGCCAACCTCCAGCTTCTTTCTAAGCCAGGCACTCTCATATGCTGTGGCAGCAGTAGGCAAAATAGTCACACCTCTGCAAAGTGCAGAGTGCTGTGGTATGATGAGGAGGCTCACCCTCTCCTCCTGCATCCCTGTGTTTGAGGTATATCTGTGGCTTGGGTAAGGTTCTGGTTTTGTTCTGTCTTCTCATTTTTGCAAAACCATGTTTCTTGAACTCACCTAATGTGTGTAAATACAAACTGGCCTCCGCTGTGCAAATTCCTCTTCAACTGTAGTGCACAGTGCTGAAGTCAGGGTCAGCCTCATCCAGCGTTACAGCAAATTACAGTGTGTACAACCAGGATGGGAATCAGTGGTACTCAGTGCTTTCGGCCATCGTAATGTCAGCTCCAGGCATTGTGGATATTCTGTGGGAATAAAGCAACTCATTAAGACACATGGGTTATTTGCTCCCCTCACCACCAAATATTCACAACATCTGTTCACCGAAAGGCCACAGACTTCTAACTCAAAGCACAGCTCATTCAGAGACCCATTTTAGGTGCTTACATCAGATTAGTAACTAAGTAGGCAAAATATTTGATCAGGATTTGCTGTGAACTAAGAACTCTCTTGGCAAGGACTACCTGTTTTCTATGTAGCAGTTCCTCCCTTCAGTGAGTTTGTAGTATTTAAAATAGATTTGATGTGAAAAGACCAATCCAAGATGTTTATTTTGTTGCCCGGCTTTCATTGTATACATAGAGACATCTTGTGAATGGTTGTGAAAAGAAGTTGTTTGAGACTCCTCAGGCTGTTTGTCAGGCTGAAGGTTTTTAGTGCACTGAAGTGTAGTGAAAAATGAGAACTATAAAGCAATATAACGCGAATTGTCTAGACCTTTAAACCTACTCGGGAAATCAAGATATATATGTATTTTTAAAGAAACTCAATAAACCTTGTTTTTAGGATTGTGAAATCTGCTATTGACAGGGCTGAACATAAACACGGTTCAAGGCCAGTGACTTAATTCTAGGTGACACCACTCCTAATCCTTTATAGCCGAATCCTTCAGTTTTATCTGCGGCTCTGGGAAAAGGTCTGTCAAGGCTGAAGTCACTTGCACGAGGGGATTAGCAATTTTTGCATTCTTTTGAAAGCTTCAGTAATTCTCTTGAAAGTAACAGATGCCAAGGCATTTGTGGAAACTGTGGGCAGTGGCAAGCCTTACGCTGGCCTGCAAATTCTTTCAGACCTGGGCCATGAGAAACGGCACACATCTGAAGCCTCCAATTCCAACCTTTGTGCCATGTGTGCCGGCAAAAGCTCTGTGTTGTCTTCTGTCTGTGAGTAATCAAGGGGAGGAGAAGAGGGGAGATGTTCCTTCTGATTGACCCAGGGGTGGAATCACTATATTGATTTCTTTTATTTTCTTTTCTTTTTTTTCTTTTTTCAAGCCTGGAATAGTTGAAAGCTGTATTGTAAAAAGGCTTTGGGCTTTTTAGTGAGCTCATGAGCTAAGAAGGTCTTCATTAGAAATAAATCATAAAACATGATCCAAATCCAGCCATCTGAAGGAGTTTAGCTGGAGGAAACGCTTTTAATATGTGCAAGTCATCTTCCTTCAGCAAGACAAATGCCTGCCACTGTCAACTGCTAATACAATTATTCTCTTCTGGCATAATTGGTAGAGGTCTTGCCTTTGGTGCTAAGATCGCAAGTATAAGCCTTTCAGTTTTCTAGCACCTCATAATGGGAGGATGGTATTACAGAAGGGCTAAGCACTATGACATGCCAGCCTGGGTTTCAGTATTTTATATGGCATTTGACATTCTGAGCATCCTGGGGCTCAGCTGTATGCTGGCTGACCTTCAGGACATCTCACTGCAAGGAACCCTTGTTAGCCATCAGTTATTAGGAAGATGTGGGGGAGATGCGACAGACTTGCTCAATAGCTTGGAGGAAAAGTATAGTTATCTTGTAAGACTTGAGAGTCTGCCAATTTTCATGATAGACACCAGTTTTATTAGCAGTTCTGTAAACTGTTGAGGGAAAAAGAAGGCAAAAGCCAATTTGTTGGCTCTAATGTTGCTGAGCTCTGTAAGCACAGGTCACAGAGGTGGTGTCATCTCCAGTGCGGTGAGAATTGGCATTGAATTCATGAGGCCAAGTTTAGGACTCCAGATAGGTGGCTTGGTTTTTCAAAAACGTTGCACACATGCCAACTGTGCTGTGAAATGACATCCTTTGAAGCCAGCTGGAGCTGCTGGGTGCTTGGAGCTTTTGAAAATCAGGATCTAAACTCCATTTTAAAGTGTTCCTAGCTTCAGTCACCTGATTCTGGAAATACTGACCTATGTCTGCTGCTATCTAGAGCAATCCGCACGGTAAAAGTGTGTTTGATGGAAAGGAGAGATATTCTCTCCAGTGATAAAGGGAAAAATCTTGGTCTATTTGAAAGCATATTCTCTCTCAATGGAAGGCATTGAGACGAGAATGAAAGTTTGTTCCCCCCTTTTTTTCTTAAAGACTTTTGTTCACGCACGCTGTGTCTTGTGTGGTTTGTATCTTTGGCCTGCAGTTTCTATTTTGTGCCTGAAGATATAGCATGACTTGGAGGAATCTAATATCTCAGAGTGCAGTCAAGATGGTTGCTGAGGAAAAAAAGAAGTGCCAAAGCTTTCCAGATGAGTTGCTCCAGGTCTTATCCAAAGTAATTAAGAAAAGTCAGTAATGCTCTCGTCCTAATCCAGCATTGGTCTGGCTTTCCATTTGAAATTGCTTCCTTTTGGTACAAGTACATTTCTAATAAGTGTGAAACCCAAAGTAGATGTCTGACCCTTTTCTCTCCTGCTGGTCAAGTTGCCAGAACAACCAGTAACAGCAGAATGGGCCTCTTCCAACAGTGGGAGTAAACTCATATGAGAGGAAGTGTAATTAGGAATAAAGCTATTTGGGAGAGGGTAAGTCCTCCAGTACTTCTCCTACTCTGCACTGGTAAGCTGTAGATCTGGTGGATCATTACGTGCCAATGCTGGTAGATGTCAGGGTTTATGAACCTGACTGAGGACCTCTCTAGAATGATTTCCTGTGGCTGTAATGCGTGCTGCTGGCTTTTTCTTACTCTCCACTAGTGAGTCCTTCTGGACTGTTCTGAAGAAGAAAAGCTGTATCTCGTAATCAGCAAGCTCTTCCTTGGGGCTGTCTGCTTCCCATTTTTTTTCAGGGAGCTTAGAAGAAACAAATTCACCTTCCTCTTCTAGGTGTTACACTCCCTCACCATGCTCAGGGTCTTCTCCCAGCCTTCCCTATACCCTACAGCTAGAGGTGAAGGCAGGAGCAGCATGGGGAGGGAGTGTTCCAGAAATCAAGAGACAGGAAAAAAGAAAAAAAAAAAGGATAACCTTAGGATGCTGACACACTGGAGAAAGAAATGTTCAACTGAAAGCAAATAATCCAGACCCCTGTTTTACAAAGCCGAGGTCAGTTGAGAAGTACTTTGGAGCTGTTTGGAAGTGGAAGGATTATAGCTGTTAGTATTCTTTGCATTACATTATCTAAATGTAAATGTCTGTCTCTGATGTAGCATCCTAGTTAGACCCTAGAATTTATGAACTGAGGGAATGATGAAATGTGAAAAAGTTGAGAAGAAAAATGTGCAGCTCTGTCTTTTTGTAATTCTTGCTGAGAGCTGATATAAATGGAAGACAAATCAAAGGCAACAATAGCACCATGCATTTTATCTCACACACTGTGATGCATATTAGTGTTGTTTCCCATTGTGAGCCCAGAAGAACATTTACAATTTTAGAAAACACTGCATAATGACTCTCCACAAGGAAGAGAAGCTAGCATATGACTGCCAATACTGACACTTGCTTTTTTCTGGCCTGTGAAATTATTTTCCTAGAACCTCTGAATGGGACAAAAAAATTCCAACCCTGCACTGTGAATTTTGAATTCTGCCCTAAATTTTCTCCATGAAGCAGAGTAGATAGATGTGGTGATATTCTATATCCAGTCTTTGACCTTGCCAGGAAATATTGGTCAAACCCATCAACATGTGACAATGATCTTTTAAGGTATGGGTAATACCACCCAGGCTGGCGGATGACTCTTTTCCAAGGCAACCGAAGATTTCTGTTCAGTTTTGCTTTTTAGTGTTTTGGGAACATTCCTGGCTTTGTGGGAGGAGGGTGAATGTCAGGAGGACTGGAGTAAGTATTTTAAGTATTAAACACCAGCAGTGCTATTGCGGTCTGGTTCTGCACCTCCCTCACTCTCCAGAATGTCAATAGTAAAGCTGAGTTGTAAAACATGCCATTGAAATGTGTGGAAATGCGTGATTGCCATCATCGAGCTGAAACACCCTTAGTGGTAGCTAGGCTGCTTTTTTAGACTTGTCTCAGTTTGGGCATACGTAGCATGCTGTTCCCTCTAGCAGCATTGTGACTTAGGGATTTTGATCCATTCATGGCTTGCTTCTATGCACTCTGAGTTGAAAGGAGGATGAGATCATTCCCTGCTGGCACAGGACACTCAGATACGAGCCAGCTCTTGCTCTGACGTAGCAGTGCTGAGCTGAGTGCTGAAATCCGTAGGGCCAGTGCCAGGTGACACAGGGAGAGCTTGAACTCTTCTTCAACTCCTGGTGGCCAAATGGAGCGATGGGGAATACATCCCTCTTTTCTCTCCGGAGTTAAATCTAAGGTGTTTCGTCTTTGCACCTTCCTTCCCACTGAAGTGGCCTGCTGGGCTTTATCTTATAACAAAATAAGTTCTAGATATTGCCTATGTATCTGAAACAGTCCTCTGCTGAAAGCCAGGCACCAACAAATTCAGCATTTAGTTCCTTTGGAATATGAAGTACTGTGATGGGAATGTAAGCACCCCCATAATAACAGGTGAAGAGGCAAGTGCTGAACATTGCTTTCAGTATTAAACTGTGGCTGAGTTGACCTGGAGCTCTCAATTAGAGACATGAACATTAGGCACTTCATTATGGGAAATTAGAAAAAAATAAATTAGAAAGGCAAAAGTCCAACAAGGAATTACTCTGGCCAGTATTGTTAAAGATAATAAAAAATGTTCTTACAAATATATTAACAGCAAGAGCAGGGCCAAGGAGAATGTCTTGCTTTTTTTGGACGTGGCAGGGAACATTATCACATGGGGTAAGGATGAGGTTCTCACTGTCTCTTGTCTTTAATCATCAGGCCAGTTATCCTCAGGGTGCTCAGCCCCTTGAGCTGGAAGACAGGGATGGGGAGCAGAATAAACCCCCCATGATTTGAGAGGAAACGGTTACTTGCTACACCACCTGGACTGTCAAAAGTCCATGGAGTTGGATGAGATCCACCTGGGTGTGCTGAGTGAGCTGGCAGATGTGATTGCTGAGCTTCTTTCCACCATCTATCAGTGGTCCTGG